ATATTTTCATTTTTAAATAACAAAAATGGTGATATATAGTACTTATTCTGCAACTAATTATTGGTGTACATTTTTAGAACTCCTCTTTGAAATTATGCTCAGAGTTAGTTTACTGTCTCTTAGAAAAATCAAATACATTTTGGTTTTTGACCTTTCCTTACTTACTCAAATGTAATAACTTAGTAGGAAAACAGGTTGGGATTTTAACATTTTGCTCTAGTATGTGTTCATTAGATTTGGCTCTTGAATGACTTTTGGATTATCACAGAAATCAGATTTATTCTTAAAAATCATTATTTTCTTTCTTTTCTTTTTCTTTTTTTTTAACCTTGCAACTCCAGCTCAAAAGAATTATTTTCAACAAATTCAGTAAATACTGATGTGATACCTTTTGAATATGTATACTCTGGAATATGTATACAGCCGCTACAGGGCTTACTTTGAAATGGAAAACATTTATTTGAATTTATAAATTTATTTAGTCACCAAATAATTATTGAGCACCAACCATAAAGCATCAGACACTGTTTCAGGACCTGGGATACATTAATGAACCAAGTAGAGGAAATTTCTTTTCCTGATGAGTTTATATTCTAGTGGAGGGAGACAGACCAAATGAACAATCAAAATAAGTAAATGATCTGTTATGGTTTAAGACTGCATAGGAGCAAAGTAAGAGAAACCTGGAAAGCTGGAAGGGGGTTCTATTTTAAATAATGTTGTCAGGTTGGGCCTTACCAAGGTGGTGACATTTGAGCAGACTCTAAAGGGATGACATAAGTAATACAGATGCTAAGGGGAGGAACATTCAAACAGATGTCCTGAGGCAGGAAAGTGCCTGGCAAAGCTGAGAAACAGTGAGGTGGCTAGTGGTTGGTTGAGTGCTTAGTTGAATGGCTAGTTGACAGAATGTTGGACATGGAGTCAGAGAGGTAAGGTGGTGATGGTCAGGTCATAAGAATCTTGCAGCCGTGGTTAGCACTTTAGCTTTAACACTGAGTCAGGGGAGCCAAAGAAGAGAAGTGACAGGATCTCACATTTTAAGGGAATTACTCTGCCCACTGTAAATAAATAGACTATAGAAGAGCAAGAGTGGAAGTTTCTATATGTTTTGGAAAACAACAGCAGCAGCAGCATTTCATAGTCACATCCCCTTAATTTTGCTAAAAAAGTGGAAAGGAGCCAAAGTAAGCATTTTAAAAATAAAATAGTCAGATTTTATCCTTCCTTTCTGATATAGTTCAGATATGTGTCCCTGCCCAAATATCATGTTGAATTGTAATTCCCAGTATTGGAGGTGGGGCCTTGTGGGAGCTAATTGGATCATGGGGGTGGTTTCTTATGAATGGTTTAACATATCCCCTTGGTGCTGTCATGATAGTAACTCCTCATGAGATCTGGCTGCTTAAAGTGGGTGGCACCCTGCTCTCTCTTTTGCCATATGATGTTCCTTCTCCCACTTAACCTCCCACCATGACTGAAGATTCCTGAGACCTCCCCAGAAGCAGGTGCCAGTGTCATGCTTCCTGCACAGTCTGCAAAACCATAAGCCAATTCAACCTCTATTCTTCATAAACTACCCAATCTCAGGGATTTTGTTACAGCAATGCAAGAATGGCCTAACACACTTACCATAGTAAAGCTCTATCAAGCCCAATTTCTTTTAGTCATGGGCTAAAAATATTCTTAGACTTAAGCCTACATAGCTGAAGCAACAGGCCATTTACTATCTCAAATGATATTTGAGCAGTATAGAGATATACAGAGCCAAGGTAGGTTAATGGAGCCACTCAATAACATCTGAGCGTGGGATTGCCTTTTCTGTACGGTCATACCTTAGAGGTAGTGCAGGTTCAGTTCCAGACCACAGCAATGAAGCAAATATCATGATAAAGGGTCTCACACAATATTTTGGCTTCCCAGTCCACATAAAAGTTTTGTTTACACTATACTGTTATCTGTTAATATGCAATAGCATTATGTCTTTAAAATGATGTACATATTTGAATTGAAAAACACTTCATTGATAAAAAAATGCTAACAATCTAAAATCTTGAAGCCTTCAGTGAGTTATAATCTTTTTGTTGGTGAAGGGTCTTGCCTTGATGTTGATGGCTGCTGACTGGTCAGGGTGGTGGTTGCTGAGGGTTGGGGTGGCTGTAGTAACATCTTAAAATAATTCAGTGAAGTTTGCACATTGATTGACTCTTCCTTTCACAAAATATTTTTGTCTCATTCAATGTTGTCTGATAGCATTTTACTCATAGCAGAGCTTCTTTCAAAATTGGAGTCAATCCTCTCAAACCCTGCAGCTGCTTTATCAGTTAAGTTTATGGAATATTCCAAAGCCTTTGATTTTGTCATTTAAACAACTTTCACAGCATCTTCATCAGAAGTAGATTTCCTCTCAAAATACCACTTTCTTTTTTCATACATAAGAAGTAACTCTTCATCTGTTCAAGTTTTATCATGAGATTGAAGCAATGCAGTCACATCTTCAGGCTCCACTTCTAGTTCTAGTTCTCTTGCTATTTCTACCACATCAGATACTTCTGAAGTCTCGAACTCCTCAAAGTCATCCATGAGGGTTATAATCAACTTCTTCCAAACTCATCATAATGTTGATATTTTGAACTCCTTCCACACCTATGAATGTTCTTAATGGCATCCTTTCCGGGTTTTCAATTTACTTTGCTCAGTTCCATCAGAGAAATCACTATCTATGGCAGCTACAGCCTTTTGAAATGTGTTTCTCAAATAAGACTTGTAAGTCAAAATTACTCCTTAGTCCATGGGCTGCAGAATGCATCTTGTGTTAACAGGCAAGAAAACAACTTTCATGTTGTATATCTCCATCAAAGCTCTTGGGTAACTTGGTGCATTGTCAACAAGCAGCGAGATTTTGAAAAGAATCTTTTTTTTCTGAGCTGTAGGTCTCAACAGTGGACTTAAAATATTCACTAAACATGCTGTGAACAGATGTGCTGTCAGCCAGGCTTTGTTGTTCCATTGACAAAACATAGGCAAAGTCCATTTAGATAGTTCTTAAGGGCCCTAGGATTTGTGGAATGGTAAATGAGCATTACCTCCAACTTAAAGTCAGTAATTGGGGCTGGGCACAGTGGCTCATGCCTGTAATCTTAGCACTTTGGGAGGCTCAGGCAGGTGGACCATTTGAGTTTAGGGGTTTGAGATGAGCCTGGGCAACATGGTAAAACCCTGTCTTTACAAAAAATACAAAAACTAACTGGGCATGGTAGTGTGTGCCTATAGTCCCAGCTACTCGGGAGGCTAAGGTGGGAGGATCACTTGAGGCTGCAGTGAGCCTTGACTGCACCACTGAACTCCAGCCTGGGTGACACAGTGAGACCCTGTGTCAAAAAATAAAAAATCAAAAGTCAGCAGTTGCATCAGCCCCTAACAAGAAAGTCAGCCTGTGCTTTGAAGCCAGGCAGGGACTTCTCTTCTTTAGCCAGAAAAGTCCTATGTGGCACAGTCTTCTAATAGGAGGCTTTCTTTTGGTCTACACTGAAAATTTGTTTAGTGTAGCCACCTTCATCAATTATCTTAGATCTTCTATATAACTTGCTGCAGCTTCTACATCGGCACTTGCTGCTTCACTTTCTACTTTCATGTGATGGAGATGACTTCTTTCCTTAAACCTCATAACCAACCTCTGCTAGCCTTTTTAAATGAAGCTTCCTCATTTCTCTCAGCCTTCATAGAATTGAAGAATTAGGGCCTTGCTCTGAATAGGCTTTTGCTTAAAGGTATGCTGTGGCTGGTTTGATCTATCCAGACTACTCAAACTTTCTACTTATCAGCAATAAAGCAGTTTAACTTTCTTATCATGCCTGTGTTCAAGAGGGGAGGACTTTTACTTTCCTTTAAGAACTTTTCCTATGCATTTACAACTTGGCTAACTGGAACAGATCTAGCTTTCTGCCTATCTCAGCTTTCAAGATGCCTTCCTCACTAAGCTTAATCATTTCTAGCCTTTGATTTAAAGTGTGAGCTATGTGACTCTTCCCTTCACTTGAATACTTAAGAGGCCATTGTAGGGTTATTTATTGGCCAATTTTAATATTGCTGTGTCTTAGGGAGTAGAGAGGCCTCAGGAGAGGGAGACAGATGATCAGCTGGTCAGTGGAGCAGTCAACACATACATTGAATCTGCTGTCTTATAAGGGTGCAGTTTGTGGCACCCCAAAATCATACAATAGTGACATCACAGATCACCATAACATATATAATAGAAAAGTTTGAAATATTTCAAAAATTACTGCAGTGTGACACAGAGACACCAAGTGAGAACGTGCTGTTAGAAAAAAATGGTGCCATGAGACTTGCTCAATGCAGGGTTGAGCAATACAAACCTTTAATTTGTTAAAAAACAAAACAAAAACCACAGTATCTGTGAAGTGCAGTAAAGTGAAGCATAAAACAAGGTAGGCAGTATTTAAATTGCTGTTCTCTCATGGTTGCAGAATATGCTGCCACAGCTCCTCATGTCTAGCTCACTGGAGGATGTCCAAGGCAAGAAGTAAGGAAAAAAAACTTGTCCTTAGGCTGTCAAGATAAAATCTTTCCCCTGAAGCTCCTCATCCCCCACTCTTCATTATGGATTGAGCAGAATTAGGTCACATTTTTAGCTACTCAACCAGTTACTGGCTGACAAAGAGGGACAGAGTACCAAGAGGTTTAGATCAGTGGTTCTCAAAGATCGGTAGAACCTTCAGGAGGCAAGTTCCCAAGACCTTTCCAGGTAGTCTGAAACTATTTTTTTAAAAAGTCAAAACTATTTTTATTATAATACTAGGATATTATTTGCCTTTTTCACTGTCATTATGAGTGTACAGTAGAGGTTTCCAGAAGCCACCTGAAATAGCACAACAGATTGAATGCACAAACATGAAAATCCAAATGCCTTCTATTAAGCAAGACGTTAAAGACGAGCAAAATTTTAAAGTAGCACCATTCTTTACTAATTTTTTGAAAATATAGTTATTTTTAATTAAAATGTACTACTTGACAATAATTTTAATTTTGTCCATTATTTTAAAAATAACTTTTTAAATTTAATATCAATAGCTGTTACCCACATAAACAAAAGTTCTTGGTGCTCTCAATAATTTTACAAGTGAAAAGGGGTATTGTGACCAAAAGATTGAGACCACTGATTTATTCAGGCAGATCTTATTCCTCCCTGGGGTTAGGGCCAAACTTCCCAGATCTCAACCAAGCTTGACTCAAACCTTTTAAAAATGTAACTGTTAATGGTAAGGGCACCTGGGCTCAACAGCAGCTAGTTGGACCTCTGAATGCTTAGGCCAAAGGAAAAGAGGGGAATTTCATTGGGCCCTCAAGTTGTCGCTGCGGCATGCTTCTTCTGCTGCTTCTGGCCTTGATCTTTCATCCAGGATTGGGGATACGTTCATGCAAACTGGAAGGCTGGCATTCCTCCTGCTCTTGTTTTTCAGTGTTAATACATCTTCATCTCTCATACTGTTTTGGTTTCAAAATACTCTGAGGAGCCTCCTTGAAATACCAAACCTGTTTTTCGCCTTTTGAATAAATCCCTTCGCTTCACCAAAAGCAAACCAACCAAAAATCAAAGTACATTTTTGTGTAACCCATATGCCTGTGATTTCTCCATCTGATCTCCTTCTTTTCTCTGGCCTCTTTTCTTCCCCGGAGAATTTTAGGCTGCCAGGGAACCAGGGAGGAGCCGGCCTGACCCTGACCACGGGTGCAGCAGGCATAGGTTTTCATTGCACATATTTTGCTGAGTGGGTGTAAGACATTTTTGCATAAACTGAGAGTTCATGAATGCCATTTCTTAGTCTTTCTTTTGCCCGCTGTCTTCTGCCCAGGTCCATTTCTTTGCCCTAATTTTACATGTAACTTTCTTCCGGTTGGGTTGTTTGCATCCACAACTCCCGACGCTTGAACCTCCCGTTCCTAGCGCCTGACCTAATTCTAGGTGCCGGCTGTTTGATTAATTTCTCCACTTTGGCAAACGAACGTGGCTCTTCTGGAAGCTTCACTTTTGCTGCTAGGTTGGGTGCTGGGGTTCAGCGGGGCTCCTAAAAAGTGCTCTAAAGCAACCACGACCCCCTGTACCCACAGAGCTCCGACCCCGACCGCTGCAGGCATCAGGAGGAGGCGGGGAACAGGGCCTGGACGGGTGAATCACAGGGCGTAACAGGTGCCGCAGCCGCAGCTGCGCTCGCTGCGCGCGGACTCCAGGGATAAGGTCTTTTTCTCCGGGTTTTTTTGGAGGTGAGGAGGAGACTCCAGAGGCCCCCACCCGACCAATGTAGGCCGCGGTTGTTCATCGCCTAGCAACTGGCGGAGCCAATGGGAGGCGGCAGGGCCTGCGGCGCCGGCGCGCTGGGGCGGGGTGGGAACCTCAAGAACCTGCGGAGGCCGGGAGGCGGCCGCAAGGGGCGGGGAAGGCGGGAGTCCGTGGCGGAGGAGGAGCCGCCGGCGGGAGGCGCTGTGAGGCGCTGCTGGCCCTCGGGGCTGCGGGAGCCGGGCTAGGACGCCAAGCGGTGACTCCCCGCCGCTCCCGGGGGCCGTGACGGTGAGCGGCGGCGCCTCGCTGCGGGGATTGTGACGCGTCCCACCAGGCAGTGGGCGGGGGTGGGGTGGGCGCCGGCGCTGGGCGGACGCGCGCGGAGGTGAGAGCCAGTACCTGGCTCAGCGCCCCGCGGCTCGGCGGGAGGCTGCGGGCGGCGGTTGGGGCCGTTGCAGGGTGCGGGTGAGCGTCAACCCGGGCCGCGCCTGGAAGAGGAGGTGGGAGGTAGGTGCTGGCCCCGGGACCGCGCCCGCAGAGGGCTCTTGCCCAAGGAACCCCAAACCCTCTCCCGGATGGAGCGAGGGTGGCGCCCAGCATAGGGAGACAAGCGGCGCGGAGACGCGGAGGAGGAGGGGATAGCCAATTTGGGGCTGCAGAGTCTCAAAGCGGCCGTGGGGCAGGCGGGCTTTGGCGATTTGCTAGTGCAGCCGCAAGAGGCAGTGTTTAAAATGACTTATTGGGTGGCCAGTGGCCGCTGTAGTGGAAGAGAGAACCCAGATAGTGGTCTAATAAAAAGTGTAGGGGAAGAACTTACATCATCCAAGCGGCAGGCATGTGTGAAAATACTTTGGTTTAGAATTTTATAGTCAATGACAGTAAACTGAATTGTAAGCTCCTTGTACGTTTTTTGAGCCTATGCTAATTGCCCATTTAGGCAGATCGCTTGGGCCCAGGGCATAGAATCTACTAAATAATTTGCTGTCATCACGTATAATATGGAAATCTTTAGATTATTACTCAGTTTCAGGGCCCATAGTTGTAAACGCCAAACTGTCATTACTAGCAACGCTGATAAAGTTCTTGTTGAATCTAAGATAATTGAGATTTTTCTGGACGCTGTAATAGGTTGAGGATTAGAAGAAGGGTGGTTTAGAAGTGTAAGGGTGGTGGCTTCTTCAACTTCCTGGGCTCCCTGACAATTCATATTAGAGTCAAGGTCTAGAGTTTGCTGTGGGCGATGGATGTCATGGAACCCTTCATGGTTCATGGGGGATTGGCTTACTCTGGGTTAGAAGAAAATTCTGGTAGTCGTGTAGTTTATCCTGAACTAGAAAGGTTGGTATGACCTGACTCATTTAGGAGCCCGAATAAAATTTGTAAAGAATTAGAACTTTGGAGAGAAAAGAAATGCCCTTCAAGTTGACATCAAGCTGTCTTGAAATTTAGAAGTTCGAGGTAGATTTATGAATTTGGATCCAGTTGGCAAAACTTGATCCATGAAATCTCTTATCCTAAAACTATCAACCTACATGCCTAGCCAGCTTAGGTTATTCATTCACAGTAAACAAGTGAGGAAAGCTTAACTAATTTAACACTCTGTTCTGCCTGCTGTCAAAGTTTCTCAAAAACGGTTCTTTGAGAAGAAGGTTAGGAACTATAGTTAATCAGTGACTGGCTGGGCCTCTTAGGCCAAGTCACTTTATACTCTTCCTTCCCTTCTCTTTCCCCAGCTGTACAGTGAAGATAATAAAGCTCATGGGTTACGTAACATGGGTGAGGCGGCTTGAAGATAACTGTGAAGACTTAGTTATTCTAGGATGAAATGTGAAGATCTCATCACACATTATGCTTTGTGACAAGGCTTGTTAAAGCATATTATGTTCTAAACATAATGAGACAGATATATGAGAAATCTAAAATGTTATGCTGAAATTGTTTGCTAAAGACCTCAAGTCTGGCACAGTGTTTGATGGTATACTTGGGATCTCCTGATGCTTGACAGTCTGCTCTTCGGCCAAGGCTGGCCCTGACACAGGTTTTGTAAACTAGACATTTGAGTGTTTTCTATGTAGTATGCACCTAGAGAAACTAGGCGCATGAAAAGACGTGGCCCCAGAATTGTGTGATTTTAATTCATTTCACATGTTTAAATTGGATCGCTTTCAAAGATTTTTAAATTATTTTCTTCCATATCTTTTCAATAGCTGTCAACATACTTTCTTATTGTTCTAACCATTTGTTCATGATACAAAGAGGTTTTGATACGACATGGGTTTGTTTTGTGACTTTGGTAATGGTGATATGGTTAAAAGTAAAGGTACAAGTTATCTTGAATTCGTGAGTTTATGGGATGAGATAGAACAGAGAAATGCACCATTAGTAATGAAAAACAGCATAGGATCATGCCTTTTGATTGCGGGCCAATATTTTATGTACTACCAGCAGATTTACTGAATTATGCTTAAATAATTCTTTCAATAAACATTCATTAAACACTTAGTAAGCTGCTACTTGCCAGACCTGAGGGTAAAAAGATGAGTCTTTCCTTGCGGAATTGTATTTTGGAAATTATCAGTATAGCAAGGGAGAGAGCAAAAAAATCTTACAACAAATATAGGAAGGCTTTCGAAATGAACGAGACTTTCAGCTGTGTCTGGCTGAGGTGGTGGAGTTTGTCAAGCAGCTGGTGCATTCTGCAGCAGTGCACAGTTGAGGAGTTACAGGTGGTTTGGTAGAGTTGGACCAGGCTGGGGTTGTTGTATTCTTAAGGCTGTAGAACAGTGCTGTGAACATTGACTGGTATATTACAGGGAATCTTCAGAAGGTTTTATGTAGGGAAATTATATTTGATTTTTACTTCAGAAGGATATTTCCACCAAAATCAATAAATTGATCCAAAATGCATTGAACATAATCCAAATATCTGAAAGACAGGAGTCCCACAAAGCAGTTAGACTTGAGGTATATTTTGCTGAAGCTCTCAGACACTCTAGAAAAGCAGAAATAATTATTTATACAAGAAACCTTTCTTGAGTATCTTATACTTTTAAGACTGGAAGAATGGGGATATTAATTAAATAAGATAATTCCTCATTTTCAAGCAACCTGCAATTCAATAGGAGAAATAACACAATTATAATGCAGTGCAGAATGTAAGTGTCAGACAAAAATGTCAGGTTCTAGCAGTGTAGGATTCTGAGATGAGAGAAGAAATAGTCTTTCGAATTAGCAAAAATAAATTTTTAAATAGAAATTAAACTGCTAGCAGTTAAACGTTCAGAGTAATCTTAACTACCTCATCTTTTAACTCTTGCTTCACACATATCTTTTTCTCATTCTCTTGAGTCACATTTTCGGTTTGATCTACCATACTACTAGCTATGTGACCTTGTGCCCTGGTTGTCGCATATGTGAAGAATAATAACAATACCTACCTCGTTGGGGTGTGATTAGACAAATATGTTAGTATCTAGAATAATACCTGGAAAAATAGCTCATAATTATTGAGCACTTAATATTTCTACTTGCTATTAAAATGCTGTGACTAAATAAGAACTGACTTTAAAGACAGGATTTCTTTTTTAATGTCATGGTAGAGCTATCCATGAGCATCTAATAAAGCCTCTACATTCAGAGAAACTAACATTCTTTTAAACTAAGATTCTTGAACAATTTTTTTTTTCTTATTTGGTGATCATCTTTCTGAAGTTTGGTTTTTGTTTTTACCCCTCAGCATTGTCGTTAAGTCACTAATCACCGACTCCAACACGTTTTTAAAATTCAGAACTTTCCCATTCTATGGTATTTGCTGCTGTCACACTACCTCTTTAAATCTCTCTGCTCCCTTGGCTCTCCTGAAGCCCATTCCCTCCTCTTTGGATCTCCTGCATCTGCATCTCCTTTGCTCACTCATGTTGATGTTCTTCAGGGTTCATTCTCCTGCCCCTTTTTTCTTTATGAATTCATCTACCTAAATGTGCTTTTATGTCTTGTGATCTCTAGGCCTAGAGTTTATCCCCATGTGAATGTCTCATGAGGGCATCTCCAAACCCAGTAAGCTACACAAAGCTCATTATCTCCACACGTTTGCCCAAACCCTGTTGTATTCTTACTCCTCTGTTCCCTTTATCTAAATGACACTATTATCTGTCTAGTGCCAAAGACAGGTTTTCACATGAGAGAGTAAATGCCTCCCTTTTGTATACTTGTCACCATGTTCTGTCAGTCCAACTTCTGAATTATTTCTTACCTGTTCTTCACTATCCTCTGTCACTGGCTAAGTCAGCCAGCTGGCTCCTGACCATTAATTGCCCAGTTTACTATAATATCTGTCTTAAAGATTTTTTTTTTTCAGATTATGAAAGTATTGTATACTTTTTATAAGAAAAAATTAAGATAAAAAGCAAGAAAGTATTTAAATTACTTTATATATAGTTCCTGCCATACAGAGAACACTGAGAATATACTTTTGTGCCATGGTATTACCAGTAGAACTTATTCTACAAGCATTAAGTTTGGAGGAGATTTGTAGAGAAATATTTTTCTAAAAGAATTGTAGGATTAAATTTGATTTTAAAATCATATATAGAGCCTAATGAGTGTCCCGTAAATACTTATAATTTAAGATAGGTTCCAGCCACTGCATATGCTTTTCATTTGCCCATTAATTGTAATCTGGTTGTGCTTTTCTATCTAAGAGGTGTCTCTTTTGACTTTATTCTCTATTCTATAGCCAAATTTTAGGAATATCCCCCTGCTAAGATCTAGACTATAAAAGCAAGCTGGCATCATAGAAGTAATCTGTAAGTACATCCCATCATTAGCTATGTTGTTTTATAATGAGGTGTCAGGCTCAAGAGAATTGATATCATTGGCTCAGCATATCTGTTGAGTGTCAGGAGGAAACGAGGCCTGTGAGGCTTTGGAATCATAAATAGCTAGTTTTTAGTCTTTCCAGGTTAAATAGCTGGATTTTACTCATGTATTCCAGGTTTGTAACTGTGAGTAAAGTACCTAATCTGTTGCCTCTGTTTTTTCCATCAATAAACTAGTGCTATTTTTACTCCTTCCTAGTACTAATGTGAAGATTAAGTGATATAGCTGATGGAACACCATCTGGCATGCAGTAGGTACTCTGAGTTCATCATCAACTTCTCCCCTACCAGTTTCACATAATTAGCTAGTACAGGAGTTATTAACTCCCCATCCATGGACCCTTTGCAAATGAATGGCTTCATAGATCCTCTGAAACTCTAGCCCGAATTGCCTGTTCTTGCACTTTTAACGGAAGAGGGTCATTTGCTTTGGGTTTTGGGACCCAAAACATTTTAACCCAAGTTGGCAGTAAGGTGAAGGACCCAGGACTCTTGGTGCCTCTATAGCCAATCTGACTGAGTAGAATTTAGAATTGAAATATTTGAGGAACAGTATATATATGTATTTAAAGCATTTTAAAGGACTTCAGGTACAAAGAATTAGATTATATTCCATGGCTCATGACACAT